GTTTTTGCGATACTGTACAATGAAAAAAAACACAAAAAAAACAAACAAAAAACGGTACTCGACAATAAATAAAGTAGTAGTTCTACATCAGTAGGTCGATGCATTTCTGGTTCCATTCTACACTTAGATACTGATGAGATTACATTGAAAATAGCCCCAAGCCTACGTTACTAAGATTTTCTATATACGTTCATGCGTCCGTTGGCCGCCGAGAAAACGTTGCGATGCGGGGAAAGTGACACACTTCAAGGTGTGCGCGACTACTAGACTGAACCGGGAAGCAAGAAAGCAATGCCTAAGCTAGGGCCTGAAAAATGAGATGTTATTACAAGGCCTCAGGTCTAGACTTTACAACAAAATTTTTTTCAGGGTCATACATGAAATAACTCTGGTATGATTCCAATTAATTTCCAATATTTATAGCTCTGTAATTCCTGTAAACCGGAAGAAATATATCTGTGATTCGCACACCAGACCTCGCGATCGCGAAACTCGCACGCGGGTCTCACTCTTCCGGCAACAAACAGATATGACCTACGTTGACCTAAATGTTGACCAATCATAATCAAGAAAAGTTTGAAAACCGCAGTACGTACCGTGTAAAAGTCTACTTTCAAATACCTTTATGTACGTCCTATTTTGGTAAACTTTTAGTATGTTGTTTTACATATAATTAAGTTTATATTTAGATCATAAAACGTTTTGTTGCAATTTTGTCCAGTCAAATCCGTATTTCCGGTGGACTAACAGTACATTATATTAACTTATCTTTCTTCCAGGGACTGATATTTTAAAGCGTCACGGTAGAATACATAAAGTACAACTGTAGAAATACATAATGTTACCAGCAATGTCGTTGCTAGCTACTGGGACAGTCGGTACTGTCCTGCTCAATTTCCCTTCACATTTTTATTGGGTTCTTAATTTTTAAAATGGTCCACATCATTTACATTTTAACCATAAAAAGGATCCAAATTTTGATAATGAGTCGACATTAGTTACATTTTATGAATAACTTAAATAGATAACATTATTTTTAATGGGTTCACATTTTAAAATTTAGGTTCACTTTAGTTAGATTTTATATGTAAACTGGGTTCCGGATTCTAAAATGGACCACATTATTAAGTTTGTATACATGGGTCCACATTAATAGCATGTTCCACATTATTCAGTTTATATGCATGAAATGGGTCAATATTTTAAAAAATAATATGTTTTTAAAGAAGAAATAATTTAAATGTTTAACATTATTAAGTTTATTCGCATTAAATAGGTTCCAAAATTTAAAAATGTGGATCTACAATATATTTTAGGTGTAAAATGGGTCCCAAGTAAAGTGGTCTACACCATTCAAAATGTGTCCACATTAGGTAGATTTTATGTGTAAACAGTTTAAAAATTTGTCCTAGTGCTTGCTCCTACCTCTCATATATTTGATTTTTCTTGAAAATCTTCGATCAAATTAATGCCCTTTGAAAAACTTGGAACTGAGGATGTGGAATTTCCCGATGCCCACCCACCCTCCTACATTTTGCAACTAAGCTGATATGTTATATTTAAAATTAGGAGCCTTGAACACCATTTTTTAAGTCTGAGAGTGGCATTCCCAGACATCTAGAGTTGCTAATCCCTAATTGTTGTTTAACCACAGCCACAACCATGGTGGGGCTGAGGTGAATGTGAACTCTCTTTAGTACTGTAGGCCTACTTTCTTCCGCAATAATAAAAATATTCATAGATGCTTAAGTATACGAAAGTGTAATTTCCAGGCATATGTAGTTGCATCATTTTCAGACATTCAAGGTTACTCAATCCTTATTTTGTTGGGGCTGAGATGAATGTGAACTGTCCAAGTAATTGCTTCCACTCTGATTTTCATAAACATAAATATTTTAAAGTATGTGAGAATGCAATTTCCAGACACTTTGAGTTGCCACATACTTTTTTGCCTCAGTCCCAACCATGATGGAGCTGAGGTGGATGTGGCTTTCCTGATGGTCATCCATAGACATCTCCTATTTTTGCAACAAATTATCTGATGCAATTTAAGTTTTAAATTAAAACCAAAACCATTTGAAAACCATTTTAAGTCTGAGAGTGCCATTATTTTCAACCTACATCAGGTGAAGAGGTCAAAATTTATATTTCTTTAGAGTGGTCATTTAATAATTGACCACTCTATTTTTAATTGAATAAAACATGTGTTATGAATTCCTCCGTGAATAAATTATCACGAACCGCACATAATAATTATAATGTAATATGAATAACAATGGCGATAGTCCTATTATATTTATACGAGTTGACGGATATTGTGAAATATGTGTTATGAATACACAGGGTATAATACTTATGCTACGAATTATTTAAATAAACCTATTAATTGTCTTTTGAATTAGGTCTACAAGTGAATATGTTAGAGTTTCGAATAACGGACTGCTGGTATAGTTTTTTTTTCATTTAGTAAGTCAATTAATTAATCCAGTTCATATCCTACAGCGGCTCCGGTCAGGGTGCAAGGACAAAGGCCACAGAAATATAAGCAGTTTTGATTAGATATAATAAACAAATTTGACTGTTTTTTTTTTATATTTAGTCTTTATAAGCAATCAATGAGGATTTTAGGAAGGCACAGACCCACAGTTCTGATGTTGCTTGGATTTATCCAACGCATTTGATATTATGATATTTTACTCTAAAAATTATCAAAGTATGGTATCACAAGCCTTCCATTTCAACTTATAAGAGATTATCTCACAGTTAGACAACAATTTATATCTATTAATTCATTCGATTCTGAACTTATTACCTATGACCTGTGGAGGACCTATTTTAGGTCCTCTGCTTTTCCTAATTTATGTTAATGATCTCCCTAATGTCTCAAAATGATTACATTTTATTTGTTTGCAGATGATACCAATATATTTTATTCACATGAAAATAGCCATACCCTTATAACCACAATTAATAAAGAACTTAAAAATCTATCTTTGTGGTTTAAAGTCAATAAACTATCCCTTAATATATCCAGACAAATTTAATCGATTTTAATCATAGTAAGAAATACAATAAATAATTGCCAAATGATATTTTTATTGATCCATTGGCCATCCAATTAAGAGTTTCCAATGTAACATTTCGTGGAGTCTTAATAATAATAATTGACTGAGAACTCAGTTGGAAATGTCATTTTGCCAATGTTACAAAGAGTATTTCTAGAGTAACGTTTGATTCTTATCTAAATTAAACTACACTTCCTTTCAATATCCTATTTTCTCTCTATAATACACTTATTTTACATTATATAATTATTACAACATCGCATGGGCTACAACCACTGGTAAACTTTCACAATGGCAGGTTCTGAAACGTTTAAAATGCATTGCTTATTTCGATTACA